TAACTGCACAAAAAGCGGTTGAAATTCACAAACATCCCAACTTCAACAAGAAAGAGGAAAGACTGAAGGTTAACAAAGTCCTTCACCACACCAAGATCCTGCCCCACAGCAGAAGCAGCCAGAATCCCTCCCCAATGAGAAACATGCCTGGACAAGAAGACAACCAGGACTCATCTGTTCAGACTGATCAACACGAACTCCACACGACAAACTAATCAGGAATCAGCATTCCAAGAATGACTGATCAGAAGCTGGCATGGACCAATCAGGAAACAACATGATCAGAACAACCTTTTAGGATTGGGCACAAACAAAGAACCAATTAATTACCAACCTACACCAATTGGAAATCATCTCAGAAATCAGGACACAAAGGCAGGAGCTCAATCAATTCTTGCTCAGTTACCAGTGATCTATATAGCAGACCACCTTGCCTCTGAAAATGTCGGGCACAGGTGTTGCAGAAATGTTGGGAAATATATTGTCCAGACCATAATCACTAACCCCGAAGCCCAACACTGCACAAATTTATCATGGTCTTTACTTTTGTACTGAGGGTGAATTTTTTCTCATATGAACATGCACAGACGAAAGTTGTTCGGATAGTTTTCCATTCCAAAGTTATTTAGCACATAGCTCTAGATTTTGGATATAAAATTGCAACATAAGGAAATCCTGTTTCACAGCCAAAATTATCAAAACATAGGCATTGGGACTTCATTTTTTTAAAAAAAATCTAATTTTAAAAATTAAACATGATTAAAATCTTATGAATGAGTCAGGTCGTGCAAGTTTTAGGGTGAAATTGTACGTTTGATCATTTTATATTCTTTAAAATTAATATTCTAAAAAATGTGAAGGGAGATTCCTGCAACACTAAATAAAATCATGAAATGCTGCTTAGTGCTAAAGGGTTTGCCTATTTTCGAGCAATGAGATCTGCTCCTGAAATAAATGCATAGTTGAAACAATATTAATCAGAGTGAACACATGCTGTTTTAACCGGAATACATATTTAATCCATTCCAAGCAAATTTTCCTGCAACGTTTCTAAACAACTCACATAATTATGGACTTATGTAATTCCAGAGATGTTATATCAGACATACATCTTCAAGCTTTCAATTGTAGACTGAGGAAAATGTCTGGAAAATATTAAAATATTTTCTAGTGTTTCACATCTGTTCATTAATACTGTTACATTTAAGAATTACCAAGACATATAATATTAAAAATCAAATAGTATGAGACCTTGGACCTGCTGAGCCAGTACTCTAAAAACAAGCAGTAGCCATACTGACAACAAACTCCCTGCTTACTGACTGGAGCAAATATATTTTTTATAACTTCACATCTTAGTTTAGTGATTCTTTACTTTTAAATGCCCTTTTCAAATGCATTCCCCTTGAGAAAGTTATTTTAAAAATAAATATATATTTCTTCATAATTCTGGGTATGGTGTGTAACAAAAAAATATCAGTTACTTGGTTATGAAAAAGGGAAGCTGATGAGGAAAATCTCTCATCAAAATACTGAGAATATTATGCATAGGCAGTACCTCACTGTTCTTTATTAATCTTGAAAAGGTAAACAGAATTAGATTTAATAAATGTTTGGATGAGTAGGGTAAAATCTCATGGGACTTTAAAATCCAGGACTTGAATTATTAATTTTTCACCTGTCTTTGACTGTGAATCTAATTGTAGATTTCCCATATAATAGTAATAATATTTCCATTTGCCAGTTACAAAGGCCACACTGCTTGGATCCTCAATACATTACAACATCCTAGGTTCTTGGGAAGGACTCAATGTGTATAAAGGCTATTTGAACGAATGCAATAAATTTGAACGAATGCAATAAAGGCCCAACACCAGCTAAACAACTGGTAGATGTAATGTTGCATTGTTGCGTGCCTAACAACAACAGCAACAACAAGACCATTCTCAATGTGGCAGACTATCCAACATCCTCTTACCACTACTTACCTCATCTTCAAGACTAGGGATTGAAGTGGAGCTCTACAATGACTGCCCCCCCCCCAAGATTAATTGATCCCAATCAATCTTCTTACAAAACTATTAAACATCTATTGATGCCCAGCCACTTACTGAACTTACTGGGGGAAAACAGTTTAACCAGGGCCTTTAAACTAGAAATTCCTGCATGCAATCTAGGTGCTCTGGCCTTGGGATACAGCTCTGCATGGAATATTTATGAAAAAGGATAAATCCTCCATAAACATAATGGAGGCAGAGCAAGGGACATGATGAAGCTGCAACTGATGGTGAAGCCAGACTCTTCAACAATGAGCTTTTCAGAGTGAGAAAAACGTATTATAATGCTACAGTCAACTTAAAAGTCAAAGCAAAACAGTAAAAGTATATTGCCAACTTAGTTTTGCATGATTACTGAATTTGCTCTAAAAATTTTCTCAGCATATATTATTTATTTTGCAAAGTTATATTCTGCTTTAAATGTGAACTATCACAAAATCCTCAGTGTCTTAACCAGTATAAATGTGAAGCAATAATAATAAACACTGGCTTGTAAAAGCTATACAACTCTGATCCTAAATTACTAAGCAACAATTGCTAAATTATTGTAATCATCAGCAGCTCTGTAATGGAATAATTTACTTTACTAGAGCTGCAGTATGAAAGAAACTTTACTTTTAAACACTACTAAATTTATTGAGGCATAATTTCAAACTATAATGCTCAGCAATATCTATTACTTTAAAAAATGATTTAATGTTTGAAATACTACCATCACTCCTTGCTTATGTCATCATGTATATATGCAAGTATGTAAGGACATGATTTTATAAAATGATAGAAACTACCTTTCTATCATTTTATAATACCAAACATCAATAAATGGTTCATATCATGAGATAACTCACATATGAAATACTTTCAAAAAGCAGTTTAAAAAAAAGTTGTTTACAAAGATGAACATTTCTCCAGAGACAAAACGCATTTATTTAAATTTATTGTCTGTGCAACTCCAATGGGTTCTGGACTTATAATAGAAATTATAGTTTTGTTACTATGTATTAATATTACATTTGAGTATGGAACAAATAGGTTTATTCTATTCTTCCAAATACAAGCAAGTATTGATACATTCTGATGGTACTAGGAAAAATTGGAATGCATGCTTTAAATGCTAGAGGCCTAGAAATCACAGCAATAAATAACATCCCAATCTTCTGATTCTGTAAACATATAACCATACGGCTCAGTAAGAGAGAAATACAAAAAAAAACCCCTATGATGCTGTACTAGACTTTTTAAAAAGACACTGATTTAAATAAAAGCTATGAAATGATTGCTCCTGTATCTCCAGTTTTCAGATTTAGTTCTTATACAATAAAGAATTTTCTAAACAAATTGCTTTGAAGAAGCAATGTCCAAAAGAATCAAAAGATAAGTCTTTTTTAAGTGCTTTCCTTAGAATCCATTTAGAAAGTTTTAATCAGAGGGATGAAAGCAATCGTTTTGGGATGAAAGGTAGTTGTGTTAATCTGTTGCAGCACAAATAGCAAAGAGCCTTGTGCCAGAAACATGTTTATTAGTCTTTAAAGTACTGCAAGACCTTGTAACATTTTAAAGCATTAACAAAATAAAAAAAGATTGTAGAGATTGAGGCTGAGATTAAAAAACCACCTCCCCTGGTTTCTATGAGTTTGTAGGCTTTGATAGTATCAGGTTTCCTGATGCAAGGGAATATTCATTAGATATTTGAAGCTTTTTTCTCTGACCTTTCCATCCCCAACCCTCTAGCAATTAGCCTTTCATGAAATCCATCTAAAGATCTCTTTTCTCTTTAATATACTTGTCACCTCCCCTTCCTCTTCATTGCGGAATCTCATTTCTAATTAGAGGCTACAAACAAAGTATTTTTTTAAAAAAAGAACTCTGTACTCAAAGCAAATTAATTTGGCTTCTTACATGGCCATTCATCTCATCTAACAGTTGAATATCTCTCCACATCCATGCATAGGTTTCACTACACTATTATATTCAGAATAAGCACAAAGAATGGATGAAAAGAGAAAATCATTTTTTATAAAAACCATATTGTGGGCTTCTTCCCCAATGTGTACATACTCAGCACAACATAGCTAGTTGTGTATTTCCATCACGGTTAAGCATTCTTTGCAGAATGAGGTCAGGGAGAGAAAAACTCAGCCCATGAATATAGTTCCTACGGTAATAAATAGATATTGCATTGCCTGAGTGGGTCCTATCATTTCTCCCAGCCACTCCCACTGCTCAACTTGCTTCATACAAGTTCAGTACTGCAAGATTGCATAAGGAACATAAACCATTTCTTGGCAGGTGAAAATTAAAAACACAACAAATGTTTAAGGCAAAAAAAAATCTTTTGGTTAAAGGCAATTCTGTTACTATGAAAAATGTCCAGAGAATCTTTAAATTTTAAATTTCAGACTTGGAGGAGGGCCATCTGCAATGTCCAGAATAAAAGTAGAGACCAAGAATCTATTTGCAATCTATAGAAATCTAGCACACACAGTCGACCATGTCAAAGAGAAAAGAAATAAACATAAAAATCATTTGAGCAAAGGGAAAGTAGCCATATCCTAGGGGAACAAAAAGTACACCACTCAGTACAAGCCAGTTCTCTCAAATAAAGCTCAACACATTTAAACTAGATTTAAATAAAACATAAATTATACATGGATGTCTCAGAAATGCCTTCTATCCATTCGCAGAACACTCAACAGGGGACAACTGAGTGAATGTTAATATTTCCAACTAAAAAATTACACCTGATAATGCACTGAAAATCCGTATTAAAGGCTAAAATGCATGGTTATGAATTCGAAGGAGCGCTATGGAACTTTGGAAGGAAACCAAATTTCCTCTCCATCTCTTTCCGAGGCTCCTTTTCTGAGCCGCCCTTAGCGTTGGAAATAGGCTCAGGATACCTACAGCCCTTTGTTTAGCATCTTTCGGTACCTCGCCTTTTACCTGTGGATGCAGTTGCCATGGCAACGGGCGGAGGTTGCCCGGCAGCTCTGAATGCCGCTGCCGGTGCCTGCGCGCCTTCGCCTTCCCAGCGCCTTGGAGACGCTCCGGCTGTACTGTCATCTTCCGCCCCGTCACCAGCCCGATGCTCCTCGGAGCTCTGGAGATCCGGCGGCGGCGACGACATTCTAGCTAGGTCGCAGGGCGGATTAGCTCAGCAGTCAAAACCGGAGGATTGCGGGGTGGGGAGGGAAAAGAAGAGAGGAGAGAAGGCGGCGGCAAGGGCGGCCGCCGGGGCGTGCGTTCGTGTGACTGCTGGCAGCTACCGCAGGAGCCGCTCTGGGAAGACTGGGCGGCTGCCTGGAGAAGAGACGGCTGCTTGAGTAGTACTCTTACGGCTGTGCCTCCGCCGCCAGCGCCTTTTACGCAGGTGCACCTTGGGCGTTGAGTTGGAGTCTCCAGCCGTTGCGTCACCCGCTGGCTGGCATATCACAGAGCAGGGAAAGAGCTGCTTGCCCCTTTAAACTCTGCCCCGTTTAACTGCTTCGTCTCGGTGGCAGGAGGCCTAGACGGTTTCCTTTTTGAGGGCCGAAACAAAAACGAAAACAAACCCCGGATGGAGAATCTGGCTTTGTGAAAGGTTCCCTCACAGATTGCCACAACCCTCAATGCACTATGCTGACAGAGATACTTCAAGCTTGTTTTTTGATACTAGGTCATGCGTGCATATTTATCCACCCATACAGCTAAACTCCTGATTATTGGATATTTAAAACCCTTTTTTAAAAATGGGCTTTAACGTATTCTGTTGTACTGGGACTGGATTTTAAAACAGAAAGTTGCAGAGAGGAATAGAAAAGGTAATGATCAACCTACTAGTGACATTTTAGAATCTGCCTAATGTAATGTACACTAGACAAGCGAAGTACATTGTACACTGGCTACCAAATTCTTCACATAGCTCCACCTGTTCACATTTTACTGAGCAATTGAGTTCAAACACCCAGCCACTCCCAATTCTCATGTTTTCTTTAAAAGTTTAATTAAAATGTAATATGCAGGGTTAAACATGTTTAATGTTTTATTATTATTTATTAAACACTCTCAAAGCAATATGCATAAACTTACAACTTTAATTTTTTATAACAATTTCAAACAAGATAGGAAATAATGCATTATTTTTTTAAAAAAAGAAAACTTACGGATTTGCAAACCATTCCTCCTAGGTAGGATATAGAATGGTGCCTTGGAGATCTATCTCTCCTAGGGGTGTCCAAACTCCCAGAACTCCCATACCTTCACTTTGTGAATACAAGCACCAACATACAAACTGTATATGTGCAGAAGTTGCTTTGCTGAATGAAGTAATGCAACTTCTCTGCCCTGCCAAACTGATGTGGGCTGCTTTTTACTTTGTAGAGGTTATACAAAAATACAGTTTGCACAGATAACCCTTAAAATACCTGCTAGGCCCTAATTGAACTATATTCATATATAATGAATACATTTACATTCTATATGAAACATAATGCAATGTCACCTGATGTAATTTTTCCCTATGGTCACATCCAATATTTATTGCACTGCTTTCCTTAGGCTAGCACCCAAAAGCCAAGTGTGGCCCTTCTTATTTATTTATTTATTTTATTTAGTTTGTCACTCATGTACAAGATAACAGGAATAAGAATAAACATGAATAAGAACACAGGAAATGGCTACAAATAAATGGGGACAGTAGGACAGGGACGCTAGGCACACTGGTGCGCTTATGCACACCCGTACAAAATTCTTCAAAACAAATTCTGCATCTCCTCCCTAAAATGGCTCTGGTTAGTGATGCCAGACCTATGACAGTGTGTCAAAGGTAACATCACAATGTTTTGGGTGACACACAGCATTCACTGTCACCTGACAAGGACTATTCTTGAAAACATGCCCCATTCTTACGCAAATTTCAAAGGGTCAGAGATTTGCTGTTATGTGGCTTCTGGAAGTCACATAGAGGGGTGTGTTCCCATGCAACCTCTGAAATTTGCATGACAACCTGGTGTGCTTTGGGGTTATTATTATTATTATTATTTAATGGATTTATAGGCCGCCCAATCCCGGATCATGCGACTTGAAGCAGGCTTGGGTAGGCTGTGGGGGCCTGTCAAAAGAAAGACAACACCTTGTTAGACTTAAACATTGGCAGGTCCTTATAGCCTAGTGCAGGGGTCGGCAACCTTAAACACCCAAAGAGCCACAAAGATCCTAATCAGAAGCCCTCCCATTCAATTCTGGAGCCAACCGGAAGTCCGGTTCCCCCACCATAGAATCTCCTCCTAGTGCAACATCCTTTTTCCTCTACCTGTCCTAACCAAAAGCCCTATCAATTGTGGAGTCAACAGTGACAGGGAGCAGAGGGATGAAAGAGCCGCATGTGGCTCCAGAGCCATGGGTTGCTCACCCCTGGCCTAGTGTGCCTTGCCCAAACAGACTTCAAGCTGGAAAGGTGCCTCACTGGTCACTCAGCCAAAAGAGAAGCAGCTTTAAAAGTTGGAGAATTCCTCTATATACAGATCAAACATATTGGGTTTAGAATGAGTTATTTCATAGGTTAAAGTCATTTGACACATCTCTGACGTAGTGTATATCCGCAGTAGCTCTAGTATGTAACATGTAACATCCCATAGTTTCTTAGTACAGTATGATCTCATTAATGATTATATTAAATATTCTGGAGGTGTGTTTTTTTTTTCATTGTAGGTTTCCAGCTCACTAAAGGTCAAGTCAGTGTCTTGGCTGCTTTGAACCAATACTTATTGGTCTATTCATGTCTCATTCACAGCTTGCTTTGTTATTTCAAGAAATAGAAACATTTATCAAAGAACCTTCTAGTTATTGAAAACATTAACCAGCCTATCTGTGAGAGCGCCTACTGCCACACACCTCCCAACGGCCGATAAGATCCCACAGGGTGGACCTCCTTCGGATACCGTCAGCCGGACAGTGCCGGCTGGCGGGCCCCCGGAGGAGAGCCTTCTCTGTGGCTGCTCCGACCCTGTGGAATCAGCTACCCCCAGAGGTCCGGACCTTACCCACCCTCATGGCCTTCAGGAAGGCTGTTAAAACCTGGCTGTTTCGGCAGGCCTGGGTCTGTTGACCTTAGTGTCAAGGTCCAGCCGCGATTAGAATGTACGTGTGTTGGGAATTTTTAAACTATTCTTTTATTTTGCTTTTCTTTTTCTTCTTTCTTTGTAAGCCGCCCGGATTCCTCCGGGATTGGACGGCCTATAAATTTAATAAATAAATAAATAAATAATATAATATAATATAATATAATATAATATAATATAATATAATATAATATAATATAATATAATAT